TGAGTTTCCATCATAGAGTCAGCGTGGCTCAAAGGCACAGCTTCCTCCTCTCAGCGATGTAATGGAGTGTGTCAATCACAGTGGAATTAACAACGTATCCCCATAGGTTTTCTACAAGCATGGATGCTCTGTCTCTAACACACACATCCCCGAAACACCATAGGGGATGTCAGCAACTGGGCTAAAGGGGGGATTGTGTTAATGGCTAATCAATGTCAAATAGAGTAACCTATAGCCCCCCCAGAAGCTAGACAAACACACACATAATTGGATGCAAACTCATATGCAAACAAGCGATAAGAATCAATCAAGGCCAGAGCCGTTAAGCACAATGTCACCTTGGTTACATGGAGGTGGGAAGATTGTCTCTTTTTCCATGATTTCCCCCGTCCAATAATAATAGTTTACATTAAAAACAACATTTTTGAAAATCCTTATTAAATAAAAATAGCATATCAGATGTATTTTTTAATTTAAATAAATATGTTTCTTATCTCTGCATAAATATACCAAATTAAATTCCTATTTGATTAAAATCTATAGCATCATTTGGAATCTGTTTCTGATTGGGTTCAATCCAAACATTGGGTTTTAAGCATTGGAAATCAATACTTTCTACCTCAGAAATAGTCCCCATAAGTTATACAGTCGACCAACGGCATTTCGTGTTATAGTCACGAAATTAATTTAATCTATTGATTCGTGTCACACAGAACGATTTTAAAAGCAATGTATTTCTGTTTCGTGCCTGCACCACGTCTTTTTGTCCGGTCGGGTCTTGGAAGACCGGAAGCTGCGGTTCATAAAAACATTTTCTTACTCAATATCTTACCCTAAGGCTAACCCTATCCCTTTTATTTTAAATTGTATAATATTTTTTTGCCGTCCGCGAGGAAAATAAATGGCGCTCAGAGCCTCAGAATACTGAAATCTGTATTTTTTGTCATCTTTTTTTCCTTCTAATTTTTTATTATTTACATTGCTTTTAATCATTCTGTGTGACACGAAAAAAATTGCGAAATCGTGTTGGTGAACACGAATCAATAGATCAATTTTGTGAGTAGGCCTATAACATGAAATGCCGTGAGACTGTGTTGAATCGACAGGGTGTTCAGTAGATTATTCAAACTTTCCAGGACAAGAGATTATACTGTTGAATGATTTTTTTCTGTAATTTGTTAATGTGTTCTCAAACGATATAACATTAAATTCCCCGTTATTGGGATAAAGGCAGAAACTGTGAGAGTACTTTGGGTGAACCAACCCTTTAACATTGTGAATCCGAACTAAAGACTGTGCAAATGATAGAAGATCCTCACAACCCAAGTCGTTTCCTCTGCCTCTCCACTCTCTCCTCACATCTGCACGATAACCATTGATCAGAGCGGGTTGACGAGCTACGACAGCAGGGAGTTTAAACTCAAGGGATCCTTCCTCTAACCCACTTACTAGCTTACTAGAGCCAGGAAATCCTTTTTCTCCCCATCACTCTATTCCTTAATGAATCCTCCTATCATCCGGAGCCCTAATGGAGTCTGTTTTGCTTGCTGATCAATGGGGAAACGAGCAGCTGAGCATGCTTCTTCTCTCTGTTACGGAGGGAGGTGCTGGGTTGCTGCGGCTCCCTCAACAGCCTTGATGGAAACATGTGTGTGAACTCCTCCGTCAATCTGTCTGTTCTTTGATCTGAGTGGAGCGCAGTGAGAGGGGGGGCAAAGATCCCGAGTGGTAGAGGAAAATCACGGAAACACATTTATCACCACATGCACACTTCACATATTTCCAAACACCTGCATGCAGAAAGAAAATGCAGAATTAACAGAAAGGGAGCTATTAGAAATTAGAAACTGAACCGTGGTTAACACTTTCATTTAACTTATCCGTCCCCATATTTCACCATCTTGCTGCGAGTCAAAACATCACTTTACAAATTGGTTTGTGCAGTCACTTAGAAACATGCCCTAATAATAATTAACAAAACGCCTTGGGCTTTAAAATGATTTCCAAATGCAATCATTTTAGGGTAAAGTTGATTATATCTAAAATTCAAATAAGGGAATAGCTTAACTTTAAACAAAAAGTCACTCCTACTTTAAAAGATTTGTATACATTCCCCCAGGGGAAAAAAAGAAAACTAATCAAACCCTCATTTCATCATGACATACCCAAAATTAAGGGTTGAGGCAAATGTTTGATATCTGGCACAATTCTTACATAGTTTTGCGCCGGACAGTCAAATGTAGGAGAACTAAATCCAGGTTCAGAGAACAGGTGACAAAGGGTTTCATCTCAAAGAACACGTTTCAAATTTCCCAAAAGTGAGACAAGAAGACCCCAGACGACCTGATGGTTAAAGCTCAATAAACGCTCACACACTGAGAGAGACGGAGTGGGATCCATAGTCAGGCCCCTGATGGGTTCAAAAAGAGCGTACAGTTCAAATGCCTCACAGCTAAAGGTCACAAGCACCACACAGAGAGTCAAAAGTGAAGGTAAATGTTCCTGCTTCCCCCTCCTGCCTCTCGCTCTGTCTCAAACACACACACACACATTCAAACATCAAAGGCCCTTAATTTTTCGCCTCTCATGTCTATCTTCCTCAATTCCATCCTGGTCTCATGCTCAGAGCGGCAGCAGTCTGACAGCAGGAAGTGGAACATTGTGCTGCAGGCACTACTTTTAAAGTTTATTTTCTTTCACTTACCCCTGTGCTCTGTAGCTGTGTGTTGACGGATGTAATAAAGCAGTCAAAATGCATATAGAGTTTTCGACTTTGTAAGTGAAACTGAAGTCAATTTGCAAATTAATATTAGCAGCTGCTTAAATATAAAATACAAAAACAAGCATTATGATGTTAGGTCTGTGCTATGAGTATATTTATGTTTAGGGTTTTGTGAAAACAGAAAACGAGTCATACTTAATTTGATATTTAATGCTTTCGTGATCTTTGGCCAAGAGGGTACAGCAGAATCTCATTGATTCATGATATTCATATTTGCCAGCCAATCCATCTATAATACTATTCTACTTTGATTAAGTCGCATTAATCCCCAACAACAAACCGAACCAGAAATGATCCAAACTAAATATGTAGCTGAAAGTGTGAGTTGGTGGCATACGAGTACTCGAGTGGAAACGTTTTCCATTACTTTTCTGTCTCACACTTCTTCTCGACATTTCACTGCACAGATTCACTTAAGATGCTGCAGGGATGTGAGCTTTGAGCAATTGATCGCTACAGTGTCAACACTTTGAATGCTTATCTAAATGTAGTTGGAGATAAGGGTTTGAAATGTACGAGGAGCTTTAAAATTCAAGTTGGTGAAAAGTATGTATAGGGAACAGAAGAAGAACAAATAAATAAATAAGAACACTAGAGATGGTTGCATTTGCTATTGTTGAAAGCTAAACCTGCAACGGAGGATAATTCTCTATCTTAATAAATAGTCTGATCAAAGCATGTTCATCACAATTTCCCAAAGCTCCAGTTTTAATATGGCTTGTATATAAGCAATATATTAGGAACAGGTTAATGTCTGGTATTTATGTCTAAAGAATGACTTAAACAATGAAAGTCTCAAATTCTGCAAATTGATAAATCGAGTAATCATTTTAGACTTATTGTATACTAGCCAACACGTTCGATCAATACCCACAATGCAATTAGGGCACTGCTCATTGATTGGTGCCTTTCACTACAATTGTTCTAACGATGCAGAATCAATCATAACAATAATTATAACATGAATAGGCCTAGCTGTATGAATGATGTCAAGCTTTTCAAAAATGAAAATCGACACAATTATTCCACTTTTTTCAATTCAATCTGCTGTGGAAACCCGGGGGAGTGCTCTCTTCCCCTGTTCCACACTCCACGGTAGCTGATCATTTGCCTCCCCCGCATTACCGCACAGTTTGTGTTCATTTTAAACCACTGTGAGAGAGAAAAAAGATGAAAAAAGTACAAAAGTACAAAAGGGGGGACTGAGAGAGAGGAGTGATGACATAACAGGGGGGGCTGAGGTGCGTGAGAATGGAGGTGCTTACGTCAACTGTAACTGGGAGAAGAAGAGCAAGCATTCCCTATGTAGGTCACATTAAAAACACATGCAGCTACCACAAATTCATCCAACTAACCAACCAGCCTGCCAAGCAGCATTGAAATCACAACTGTAAGTACACTATAGCTGTTAAAAAACAACTCTACTATCCATACGATACTGTTATCTAACAGTCCTGACTAAATCTGAAGCCCAGCTGAAAGGCTTGTTAAATTACTGATGAGTCTGGGGACATGACATCATGTGCTCTGTTATTTTTACTTACATTAAAGACAAAAAAAAAGTTTTAAGCCGAGACGTCAATGGGGGATGCCTCGTGACTCGTCTTCAATCGATTTTGTTGTAAATTCATATTGTATTTTCGTTTTTTTGCAGAGTCCCATTCATCCTGACTTCTTGACTGTATAATCACACCAACTTCCCACCATGTCATCACCTTTTACTCATGAATCCTAAGACATATTATACATCAAATGAAGCCATTAGTAAAACGACAATATACTGGTCTTAATGATGATGACTTTAATTAACTAATATTAGCGCCCCATTAGGGTTAATCATGATTACACAGGCACAAACAATAATGATTGCATGGAAGCTTTGTCTAATCAATGTACCCAGCTGTTTATAATTAAATATACAGGCAATGTGATTTCTAGAAACATCCCTTATATTGTGTCCTGATGAGTTACAGAAATGCGCTCTGCAAACCTGCCGCTCTACAGTTGTTATTGACCTGGAGCTTAATTGTAAGCGGGGTGGAGCGCAGGAAGAAGAAGCTAACTGAAACATAATGAACGCAGGAGGGGGCTGTCTATGCAAATTCATGAGGGGAATACATATAAAAGGGCAATGAAGGCAGTATGCTGATGCTAACTCATGGTGTTCTGATACCAGCACATTATGTAACCACTACAGATCTGTACAGAGAGCACTCACGGTGAGCGGTCCTGCAGGAGTCACTCTGTGAGCTCTCAGCAGAGTGGGCGGAGGAGGCGGACGACACGCTGGAGCTCCGGACGAAGCCGAACGCTGCCAGGCGGCCGGCGGGGAGACGGCTGCAGCTGAAGCCGGGGGGGCGAAGGCCGGACTGGCTCACTTTGGGCATCAGAGATCTGGAGGCCACGGCTTGTGGCTGGGCTGCTGACACTGGAGCAGGAGGAGGAGCAAGATGGGTGAAAACCTCATCTTCTAGAAAAGAAGAAAAACAAGCTTTCAGTATCCAATAATAATTATCTTTATTTGTATAGCACATTTTTTTTTTTTCAAGGATTCAAGATTCAAGGCTTTTATTGTCATTCGTACATAGCTACAATGTAGTTATGTCGATGAAAATCTTAGGTCCCAGGCTCCACCAACAGTGCAACACAATACAACAGATAAAATAGTGCAAGTAAATACAATAAAATGGAATAAAAGTAGAACCTTTCATACGATGGTGCAGTTCAAGGTGCTTCACATAGACATTTCACAGAAAATGTATATCACACAGAATACAGTAACCAGGAAAAGACATAAAAACTAACTAAAAATAGCATAGAGTAGACATATACATTTAGATAAAAGGTACAACGATGAAAATTGTGCATTAAAAGGAGGATAATGCAACAATATTTGAAAACATTTTAGAAAAGAAAGTTGTTCAGGAGTTGGGTTTGTTACATGGTGTGTCCTTAGCTGAACTCATATCACAGAAGCTTCCAGAAAGCTCTCTGTGTTTCAACTTTTCTGGTAATCAGCTGCTCATGTTGTTGTAGCTGCAGCATGTGTTGTTGAACTGACAGCTCCATGAGAAAGGCTACACTAAATGATGTGCTTGTGCTTGTGTTTGTGTTGAGAGACTGCTGTAGACTCATTAACTCAATAACACTCACATACCAACAAAATACAGGCGATTCAAAATACAGGCGATTCAAAATACAGGCGATGCTGTTTCTATCCCCAGTGATTAATTCATCATCCTGTGTTGACTAAGCTCTCAGTGGGTGGCAGGAAGTTTTCAGTGTTATGACTCCGACTGCTAGAGCAAGCAAATATAATAACAGTATACACAACAACCTGCTAACAGCTGCTTTTGGCTTCGGCTGTGCTCGCAGACTGGGCTGGAAGCCAGCACTTTCTTTAATGCAAACACTGTTATGACGTTTAATCTGACAACAACAATTTAGGACACAGATGATATATTGTTCCATTGCATACGTTGTGTTTACCCGTGTTTAAACGCCATTACATAATCAGTCATTCCTCATGAGTATATAAAGTATTACAGTGATTCTAACGGCATGAAACCATAGCTTTACCATTCAGGTTTCTGGACTTTAAACCAACAAAATGAAGGTTGATTAAAAGAGAGATGATAAATCGTCCTTACAAAGTCAGAGAAAGAAAAAAACAGTGAATCTCAGAGAGAAAGGATGAAGGATGATAAAGTAATCATAGCTCCATAATGGGAGCTATTGTCCGGTAGCAATGGGGAGAAATCCTCCCTCTTGGTAATCTATGGTTTCCAACTGAAAAACAGATGAAATGTGCAGGCATGAACAACCACGGCTGCACACATTTATACTGAGGGCAGTGAGCAAATCCTCAGGCCTTGGACAGAAGCCCCATCTTTTGCTACCCCAGCCTGCGGATAAGGTTTAGATTTGGGGTGGGAAGGGAAGCATTATCCCCTGCTGGCTGCAGAGATAAGGTAGGCCGCCCTCCTTTCCTCAACTATTTGGCACAGCTGTGTGCTCCAGTTCGGCTACAGGGTGCCCACCACATCAATACCAAAAGGGAGCACCTCTGAGAGAGAGAAAACAAGCTGTGTTGGTGGAGAAAGACAAAGTGGGACAATAAGAGGGAGAAAAGCCTCCAGTGTAACTTATTACCTCCTTCCTCAATATCTGCCTGTGTGCCACGTGGAATATTTATTAGATTGGAGCTCGCTCCTCTTGAGAAAGATAAATGTCCTAATTTCCCTCTCGCCTCCTACCACTCCCTCTGCGAGACGAGGGAGGGAAGAGAGTGTGACAAACCTCTTAAGCTAATAAATCACAGACCTAAGATCCTTCTAAATGTAGATACACATTATGTGTCACAATATAAAGACAATACATTGAAATTTGATGGAAATATTTATATGACTTTTACATTTTGGCGGTCTCTCCCTTAACCATGGTTTTTATTCAAAGAAATACACTCAGCCAAAGCGGCTTTCAAAAAAGACGGACATTTATGAAAATGTGAATTTCCATGATAAATCGTAAAACCCTGGGTGTTGAAACTCACACCTGGGCTTGCAGTTTTCTCTCTTCATCCATTCCAGATTTTAAAATAAAACCACTTCATTTCCCCCCTATGTCTGAACCACTCCCTACAGCCCCTGAGAAATGAAAACATCTTCATACATACACCTTTACGGACAGAAAAGCATCCTAACTTGAGATGATTATGTCAATTGGTTTCACAAAAGTCAATGGGATAAACATTTTAATGACCAACCGATGTTAACTACAGGACAAGGTAACCTGCATAGATTTCCTCCACAAAGCGTTAAATTGTTATTAAATGATAGCTGAGAGCATTGCAATCTCTGTAGAACTACTCGAGCAAAGTAGAGCGGCTGTGAAGATGAGAGTCTCGATATGCAGAAGTTATAGTAGATCACAAAAAGACTGTCCAGTTAGTGGATGATCCTCATTATCATAACAACTTTCAAACCTACATGGTAATTATGTGAGTAGTTTGAGTATTTTGACTGCCATACACAGTATAATTACTATAATGTATGTACGCAAGATGGAGTGATTTCCTTTCACTTAAGTCTGAGACGTTGTAATTAACAGCGATGAAGGGAACAAAGGAAAGTGTTGGATGGCACAAGGGTTACTCAGATGTATCCATACATGGATGAAATGCACAATAATAAAATCAACAGAAACCCCCTCGTAACAACCTGACAAACACAAGTACAGGTACATGCTACATAGACAGTGCATGTGTGAGCTGGTGTTTATCCGTTCCGTGTGTGTTGGGCAGGGAACAGCAGAGACGAGGCATGATTCCTGCATGCAGATACTGACGTTACTTAAACATTAATTGCATTTCACTTCAAAGCCTGTAATCTCCAGAGGGCCAAGCAGCACTGAGACAACATACATATGTATTAATGGGGATTATTATGAGGAAGCCTGGCACATCATTACTATAAGTTAATATAATTAATTATATTAATTTGAGGTATCCATTAATATATATTTAGCATATTATGCTAAACATTTCTGTATGTGCAGTTTTGGGTTATCTGTATCTGTACGTATGAACATGCATGTTTCTGTGTTTCTGTAAAATGTGTCTTGGGTAATGTGATGTACATCTGACTTCAGCAGTCAGATGTGGCATGTGATTCATCTGACTTTGCTGTGTAGGGAAAGAAAACGTGAGCAAGCTTTTATTTATTGATTTTTGTTTTGTAGGTGGAAGCCTTCTGGAGCAGAAAAGTCCCCTGAGATTATTTCCTTCTTAAAGCCCTCCAATCAGATCAGCCAAAAGGAAATCTCAGAAAATGCATATTAATGAGCTGCCTTCATCTCAAGCCAATATGTTTCAATGGGGAAGAGGTAGCTCTCTAGTGTGTCAGATGTTGGGTTGCTGAAATAAGATCTGACAGACAGTGTAGCACAAAAGAGCCGGTCTGATATTCTGTGAGGAATGTCTACTCACTCTAAAACATAATGCGGGGAAATCTCTTACCTGTGTAATCTTGGATTTTCTGAGTGCTTGCTGGGTTGACAGGTTGGACTGGCTGGCTGAAGACCAGTGTTGACCTCTGACCTTGAACGGGTACTCTGCCCTTGGCTGAGCACGTGGTCGTCCTGGCGACAGCTCCCAGACCGAGACGCATCCCCCGCCCCGCGCGCAGGAGGCTGCCGCTCCCCCCCGCCTGGGCAGCCGTGCGGGACTGCAGCGCGTCCTCACCAGAACTCACTTTGAAACTGGCAGACCGTCCAACCTGGAGTTCAAAGCAATTCAATTAGATGAAAAATACTATTATAAATATTCTGTGAAAAATCAATGCTGTACCCTTGGACCAGAACTGAAAAGAAATGGGTCAGGCTAAGGTTCAAAGTTAAAGAGAGAATACTTTTTTGATTCATGCATGTGTTGCAAAAAAAACGTTAAGCTTTCACAATTGTAATAGTCTGTGCCATAAAAACAGGGTTTCCTGCTTACATTTGCGTCCATCCTTATGTGTTTACCATCCAAGACTGGCTAGCATGATATTATTATTGTTAAACCTAATATACTTTGCCTATAATAGCTTGAACAGACAACAACAGAACATTGAAGAACAGTATATGTATAACCATGTGCAGTAGATAACAACAATTCTGCATCTTGGAGTGTGTCCATAGACCTTCTGTGTGCTGTGAGTAGAAGTGTTAAACATTATAATGACATGCAGGGATACTAAGATCAGGCAACATGAACTGTTTAACATCATCAGCTTAATTCAAGAGCAAGTGTTTCTCTCTAGAGCTTGTGTGCAGTACAAAATGCTAACGAACATTCAGTGACACAGAAGGCATTAAGATTCCTCTTGTCCCTCTGGGCTTTGTTCTTCAACATGCATTAACTATTTATTTCTGCGTGTTGGTGTTTGATGCTGTAGGAATATGAATGCCAAATGAAGCTATTTAATCAGAATCAATAAGGGATAATGAGCAGCTCTTGAAAGAGTAGGAATAAAATGCAAAATATATTTGATCAATTATACATGGGCTACTGAGGGAGCGAAACCATGAGCTTCAGCCTATGAAACAGAAACAACAGACTGAACAGAATAGGTTTGTCTTTGTACGTGATGTGTGTGACATAACGGATATAATAAAGTAATTCTCTCCTGCTAATGAAAAGGGAACCGTCGTAATTGAATCTCGTCTTTTCTTCACTGTTACGGTGATTGTGCTTAATCCTAGAAAGGCCTTTTTTCAATAAGAATGAGCACAAGCCAGAACAACAAGAGAAATCATTCTGAAAGTTGAATTCATCTAAGGATGTGATTAGAGATACTGTCAAATATCTGGAACAAACCAGAAACCTGCAGGTCCGCTGCAACTCTTACTACTTTGAAATCCAGGCTCAAGACCTTTTTGCCGCTGCTTTTAATTGAACTATTCACATCTTACACTGCACTGTAACCTTTATTCATGTACCTGTGTTATTCATGTTTTATTATCTTTGCTTTTTAATGTTTCTAATGTGTTTTATGCTCTCAATGTCTTTCATTTTTGTAAAGCACTTTGAATTGCTTTGTGTTGAAAAGTGCTGTATAAATAAACTTGCCTTGCCTTAAGAAACATTTATTATAAAACCTTGAAATCCAACACTCATAGTTATGACAAACATTACTCACCTCTGATGGTGCCCTGTAGAAGGAGTCTGCTTTGCTGCCTAGCTTCGGGGGTGCTGAATGGCTGTGTGTGTGTGCAGGCGGGACGGTGTGTGTGTGTCCGGGCGGCCTGATACTCCTGCTCATTATTCCTGATGGATAGATGTTTGTCTGCATGTCTTGGCGGTATTTGTCATAAAGCAGATTGGAGGCACTGAGCACTGGGGGTCCTCTGGTGTCTGAGTCTGGCTTGGAGTGGTCATTTGTATTGTCTTTACAGGAAGTGGCTGTTTGGCCGTGTGTGTACGCTGACAGCCTGGATGGTAGAGAGGAAACCTGATAAGGTCCGTCAGCAGCCTGGGGCTTAAACTGAGGATTCTTTCGGACCGAGGTAATGATTTTGGGCCGGACTCCTTTGGGTCTGAGTTTAGGTGATGGGGAGCTCTCTTTGGGGTTGTGGCTGGAGCTCTGCTGGTTGTTAGGAGGCGCTTTGGGAATTCCACTTGTGCTTATATTGGTTTTCACCGGTGCTCTCATGCAACTGTTGCCATAGCCCTGAGCTGATGTTGCTACAGTGGGGTTGCATCCTGACGGGAGGTGTCGAACCACTCCAGGGATATTCCTGGAAACGGGGAACATGGAGGGTTCCCTGCGAGGTGAACCCTGGGGTGTCCTGAGAGGAGAGTGGGGAGGGGTAGATGACCTTGGATCAATCCCCATCCTGTTGGGACTGGAGCAATTCCTTCTGTATGTGAACTGAGTCTGGGGTCTCTTCTCAATAGTGGAAGGACTTGAATTTCGCCATGCAGTTGTAGCAGGCTGTTTTTCTACAGGAGGAGGTGCCTGGTTGCTTTGCCTGGGCTGTGAGACTCCAGTAGGGTTGTACAGGTTGGAGAAATCTGAGGGTTCACGTAAAGCTGACTTTGTAAACTTCCTGTTTGAATCTGGGAAGGGGTTGGGGGAAGAAGGTTGCCCTGTCTGAGTTTGATAAGTGTTGGGCTCTGCTAAGCTCCTGGATCTTCCCATCTCTGTCTGACAGAGGGGTCTGACAAGCTGCTGTCGTCTTGGTGGCAGCACCCTCTCCTCAAATCCTGCCTTCCTCCTTTGGCCCAGCCCACCGTCAAAAGACAATCCATTTCTATACTGACCTACATCCTCTTGTCTCTGATCCTGCCTGTACAGTTGAGGATGGTTGTGTTTCTCTTGAGAATACGGTGGCGGGGAGTTCTGGTTGGCATCCACAGGGCCTGCCCTTGTTCTGGTCTGGGCTGAGGTAGTTTGGTTTGTATGGGAATAAGGGTTGGTCTTGGAGTAGGACAGAGAGATGAGGGACTGCGCCTCTCCGCCACTATCCAGCACATTTGACAGACTCCCGCTGAAAGAAACAGCTGACAGACTGGAGACGAATACATTTGTCTCAGACTTGGACTCCTTCAGACCCCCCTTCCGTCTCTCCCTGTCTCTCCCTGACCTGCTGTCCCGTTTCTCTATTGAGCCTGTCACACATATGTCCAAGTCTTCAGTGCTATGACAGGCCATCATTTTCTGCACCTCTGCGTCCCGGTGTGTTCTGCTCTCCACTTTGTTGTTGTCGTTGTCATTTCTCCTCACGCCGGTCGAAGCAGAGCTGGCAGTTGAGCTTGAGGATATGGACATGGGACCGTCATCTCTTCCGTCCCTCAAACTTGCTCCATCGTCATCGTCCTGATCTCTGTTTCCCAAGAATGTATGTATCTCCTGACAGTCCAAAAGCTCAAACTTTTCGAGGTCAGGCTCCAAACAACGCTGCTCGGAGCCCCAGATCACTAACTTGTCCAGGGAATCACGTTGTGAAACCAAAGGAGGAATGGAGCTTGTGCTATATCCTGTGTCATGTATCAATCTTCTTCCTTCTTGATCGGTAGTCGAAGATAATCGATAAGCATTATCATTCCCAGATCGGGGAAACTGGATCTGGGTTTTGTTTCCAATCTTTTCTCCTTTTTCAACATTGACCCGAAGTCCCTGGAAACCAGTTGGGATGCTCATGTTCGATCGATTCTTTTTGCACGCTCAAAGACACCTACAGGGTGCTGAGTCCATTTAGGGAGTCACAAGGGTTCCCTGTCTCTCGTCTTCAGAAACTGTGTAATGATGGCCCTTCACTCGATTGTTCCAAGGACAAAATGTCATCTCAAGGAAGCAGTTTCACTTTAACTTGCCACTTATCTTGCATTGACTATGAGTTAACAAAGCTGTCTTTGAGCAGATGGGGGTCTCTTCAATCTGAAATGAAAGAAAAGAAAGCAAACTGTAAGAAAGGGTAATAAGTGGGCCTGGGAAGCAGCCCATTCTTTTCTCTCCCCCAAGCCACTTAACATGTTTTATTTTTAGTCTGGTCTTGGTAGCGCCAATTTCTGAAATCATCTGTGCACAGCTCACAATATTGCTCTCTTTAGTTCCTGCCCATGGGACAAAAAGATACTGGGAGCAAAACAGGAAGTGACAGTCTTGGAACCATTTTTTATTTAATTCTATATATAGCAATCGTTTAATGTTCATGGTTTAACCACCAGGCAGAGTACAGCAATAGTAAGAGGATGCAATTATCAAATTATGATTGGATGTTCACTGTAGAGCAGGAAGAAAATAGATAAGTGAAGAGATAAATGGTAGATAGCTGAGGTGACATACTGTTTGTATGTAAGTGAAGGATTCACCCTGGGGATGTCTGATGAAGACAGGCGAAGAGGAAGACAGGCAAGGGTGCGAAGTGTTTTATAATGAGCTTTTTCTCTCAAGAGACATTGAAAAAGAGAAGGTAGTATCAAGATAGGGTAAAAACATCTGCAATAAAATATGTTTTAATGTTTTTTTTATATAATACAGTGCAAGCAAACTGTCTCTCTTATATGCTCAAGTGCAAGCATGTTCCCAGCATGGAAAACATGAACATTATGTGTGGGTGTTGTCATGGGAAAAACACCAGCTCAAGAGGGATAAATCCATACTGTAGGTTTGATCACAGCAGGAGACACTCTTCTCTCAACACGTCCTCTCTAACATGCCATATGGGTAGTTTAGCCAATGCCAGGATTTGATTTTACACCGCAACAGAACATCCTGCTTCATTTAAAGGCAACGAATTGCAGGGGGTAGGCTACAGATATTTTAATGGTTGTGTCCCTTTGAAGAGACACCAATTCAAAGTAACGGTGGTGCCATAGAAACAGGTTCAGTCCATAGATGAGTCGGTGGCAGGGAGGGAAAAGAGCTTTGTCATGTCAAGTCAGGGCAGTGCGGTTGCAGCACGGTTTAATCATATCAGATTTAATAAAAAAACACACAACAAGACACCCAAGACACTTGAGCGATTCTGACAACATGGAATAACTCTGTGTTTGTTCTCAGAGGAAAGACTTCTGGGTGTCTCCATCAACTATCCATAATTATGCAAGAGTTATAGGAGAATTTTTCCTTATGCCTATAACCGCAGAATATTAATGAACTCAATATAATTTCCCCTGTAAGAAGAGTATCTTTTGTTTGCTTGTGAGTAAAACTGCTTCCACATACTCTTATAGGCTTAAATTAAAATCACATTTCCTCTCATTTCGTAGTATTTTTCGGCCAAGAGGGTCATTAGGTAGACACATATGTATCTTTAAACCATCACTCTGAATATGAATGAGCAGTTTTAAGTTCAAATAGGACTCCCACCCTCTAATTATCCTTGCAGTGAGGGAGTCTGTAGTCATTAGCAGGTGCTCCTCTGTGTGTGCTGTGGCTCGATATAAGTGAACTACGTGAACTGCTCTGTCCCCGCCTGTGGTGTATCTGATGCTGCTGAAATCGGGTGCTGAGCTACAGTTTGTCCAATGGCACTGGAAGGGGAAACATTCATGGATAGTATTTGTATTCCTGAAAGTCATCTTAGAAGTGATTTGGAGATCTGAAAGTCAGTTTATAGAATCTTTTGGGAATCTGTAAACTGCCCAACGAATAAATAAAAGACCCAAAAGAGCCAAATGCCAAACATTGTAACACTATCAAAACATGTTTACTTGCCATTATAGTAATTTGATCAGATGTGTTATCAGATATTGGCAGAGGTGGGAAGTAGTGGAGTACACAGTACTTTACTCCACTACTTATTTTTCGACTTTTGACTTTTACTTCTTACATTTTTAACACAAATACCTGTACTTTCTACTTCTTACATTTTGAACACAAATACCTGTACTTTCTAATTCTTTCATTTTCCAAACAGCTGGTTCCTTTAGTCTGAATGTGTGTTTGGTGGCGTGATCATTATTATTTAGAGTCATTGCGTGCCTATTGATTTGAACACGATCCGTGTATCCATCACTTCCTGGTCTTCTCTAAAGAAGAGGGAACAATGGAAACGTTGTAATTTTGCCGTTGTTCAGCATCGAAACATTCATCAGCTAACAATGACATTATTGTTAATATAAAGGGAGGTCAGTTGTGTTTACTTTTGCCATCTCTGGATATTGATCTATGTCTTTACTCTACTCGTTATATTCTGCAGGGATTCCAGCAAAAGGGAAACTACAAATTACAAACTACAAATAGACAACAACATGTATTACCATCCACACACTGTCGTCTATACTCTGTGAACTCTACTAATATTTACTCTCAGCTGGTGCACACAATCAAATAATTAGCTAATTATAAAACACACGATTCACAGAGGCGGGAAGGGGAGGGATTAGGAGAGGGAGGGAGACAGAGAGCTGTGTTAGAGAGGCACAGAACTCTCTGAGAGGACATGGTGGCAGATCAATTACGGCACTGATGTAGTACTGGAGGTTGTGCTGATGACAGCAGTCCTGGCTGAGCTCGGTCACAGTGGCTCAACAACAATAAATTAGGCTTCACCTCACAGAAGAGCCACACAAAACCAATCTGAACATAAACCCTGCACATAATCAGACAGGGAACAAAAAACCTGTCTGTGACTATGTGAATAAAATGACCTGTTGTAATGATAAACGTTTTTTTAAAAACAGGTGTATTTTTAGATGCTTTATGAGACTTTGTTTGAGAAAAAAGAGACAGGCTCTCCCTGCTGTCGCGTTAACTTAGAAGTGAAGAGAAGAAGCAGGACAGATGTTGGCGAGGAGCTGATAAATGGATAATGAATTATGCAACTACAAGTGTAACAAATGTGGATATCTTTGATCATCAAGCTCCTTCTTTTTTAAGCAGAGGAAACACGGCACTACTACAGCAGTACACTGTGACCATTATTGGCTGTATGGGTTGTATATGCACTACTGCCAACAGTGCTCCAAGCAAATGTAGTAGCTAATTCATTTTTTACACAACATCCATTTATAAATGAGATGTATATTGTGTATGTTGCTGTGGTAACTAATTTCAGAATTAAAAAGTCTACTTAGTTCTACTTAGTTTGACTTTTTGGTTGCTGTGTGATTTGTTTCACAGCACTGATATACTTCCTGCATAAATGCATGCCGAGTTGATCTGGGCTGGAATATGTAACGATGTCAGGCTTTGTTTCAGCAAGTTGACGTAATTACTCGGGGAAACAGCAGGAAGAAAAGGGGGGGAAAAAAATCAAAAGTCCTGCTTGTGTTGTCATGGCAATGCCATATCTCAGGGAATTGGAGAATAGACATCCTGACCCCTGCAGCTTCCATCGGGGAAAAAAGGTCAGCGTTAGAAAGAGACTGTCCTGAAGGTCAGCTGTATGCTTTTACACTTACAGCTCATGCATACATTCTGCTGTGAAACACTTTCACATGTGAACTCACACATATATGCACTACACAACATACACACAGTGGACAAGATGAGTGAAAGCAAGGGATTTCCCCCCCCCTCCAGGTACATAGTGCTCATCTAGGAGCAATCATCTCCCTGAGTGGTTAGATAGAAGGATTGCTGAAGTGCTGAGAGCATGGGGCGGGATGAGACCATATCTCAGCGGTGATCAAATTCAGTGAAGGATAGGAATGTGTGGTTTTCACCGGGCTCCTTACCCATCAAGTGCTGCATTTAACCACAGAAAGATTTGGAAAATGATGGGCTGAGAGTGACACTTGATGAGGGACTCACTGGAAATGAAGGGCAAAATCAAGTCTAGGAGAATTAGAAAAGAGAATGGCTGTCCTTATCCTTAATCTTTTTTCTTCTCTGAGCATGTCTGTGTGGGTGAGAAACGAGAAGCAGACATGAGGTGGGAGGGATGAGACATGCAGATGGATACAGAAAGCAAGTTGATGCAGGAGAGCCACTGCTTTCTAATTAGGTTGATGGAAGGGAATATATCATATGGACCTCCATAGTACGAGCTATAGAGCACCGTTTCTGAAGTGTCTTTCTGAATCAAGCCTGAGAGAGCAGAGAATAGTAATTAATGAAATTCCTTTACAATATATAATGCTAATGAGCACTTCATTACTCCCATTGGTGAAACTGGTAACATATATTTCTGTTTCGTGCATTGTTGTTCTGCAGGTTGCTCAAATAGCAGAGAAGCCCAGAATAAACTGTATCCGATGCGTATCTCTTAGGAACTGTATTTAAATATTGGTAGGGGAGAGGGGTCAGAGAAGGGTGATGGATTTCCATTTCTTAAATTTGATGTAGGGAACGTAGGCTTTTTAAAGAGAGAAGGGGAAAGTCCACTTTCTGATCCCAAATTCTTTATTTTTTGTGAATAGAAAAGAAAAAATGTATATAAAATACTCACACTATAAAGATAGCTTTCATTTTTGAGTCATGTATCATTTAATTGATCTGAGGCACAATCGGATCTCACACACATATCCAGGATAGCATCGCCTTATCTAATGAATATATTATTTAAATAGTGGGATCAGTGAGTTTTGTTGAAAAAAAGAGAAGAGGGGAAAAAAGGGAGATATTTATAATGATGGGGATTTGTATAGAAGCATATAGAGTCTTATTGTCAAGGCTGTGGGGAAGTCAGGCCATGCAGGAAATGTAAGAAACAACTATTTCCATGTCAGTGACAGTCTTTGTGTACACATGTGACAACACAAAGACTGTATGTGCAAATGAGCGCATTATTCCTCACTTGAATACACTCACCTGCAAAGACACACACATCAACACGTGCACACACATACACACTGGTGGCACCTTTGTTGTCGGTCCAGCAGCACATGTGGCTATAACAGGGGCCATTTGTCATTGGCACTTTGCTTTATTCCTCTCCTCCCCTACTGGAGAGCAGACAGGTTTTATAGCTCGCTGGTCCCAGGGGAACC